GCCAGGCCTCTGCGATCAGCCGCACAGCGGTGAGAGTAGGTTGAGACTGATAAGGTCGATTGGAAAAACTCAACAGAGTCTTAGTTACAGTACCATAAAGTTAATAATTAAACCAATGCTTAGACCTCATCGAAGATGCTCATCTTTTTTACCATTCACCTGTAAGGTGATCCTAAAATAAGCATGTTTCTTAAGCAGTCCTGAAAAGTCCTCCAGCTTTTAGCTAAGAATTCTTCAACAAAAGCTAGAAGCCCCAAAACGTGTGATGCTGTAGGACTGGCAATGCCAAAGAGGTATCTTTTTCTTCCCCCTCCCTTTATCCTGTGCCCTTGGGGATGAAACAGTAGAAATGTAGGACCATGGACTGCATATTTTAAATCCAATGAATGGGTATAGTGTAGGTTGATGCGTAAAGGGTGAGAAGGGAGAAGACCAAAGGACTCTACTCCGTTGTAATGTTAGATCTCCACCAGGTATTTGGCAACCTGTGCTGTCTCTTCGAGCCTTTGAAGGCACTGGCCTGTTGCTCCTGCTATTGTGATTGTAGCAAAAGCAGCTTTAAAACAAGAGGCTTGGAGAAAGCAAGGTGGCTTAAGTCATAGCCAGCAACACATTGAGCTTTTGTGCTTCTCGCTGTTACGTAGCTTACAAGTTGTTGCATTCGTTGAGTACATCAACGATGATCTTAAGCTGCGTGCTAGACTCCTTTTGGCCTTGTTTGGTTTTGGGTAATCCACTGAACTCAAGAGTGTCGTGGAGTCGAGTATCTGCAGAGGATACCTTGATTTTTTTACTCTCATTTTTACCATGAGAGTTGTAGAACACTGGAACAGGTTGCCCAGAGAGGTGGTGGATGCTCCGTCCCTGGAGACGTTCAAGGCCAGGTTGGACGAGGCCCTGAGCAACCTGATCTAGTTGGAGATATCCCTGTTCCTTGCAGGGGGGTTGGACTAGATGACCTTTGAAGGTCCCTTCCAGCCCTAACCATTCTATGATTCTATGATTCTATGATTTTAACGCGTGACTTTTCTTCCACTCTCCTTTTTCCCTCCTAGCGTGTTTCCTGCTTGTTAATACCCTGGTGTTCTCCAGCACTGAGTCCTGTTGTAAATAAACTGCACCAGAGGCCACTGTGATGTATCCATATCCTTTCATCTCTCCAGTTCAGCAGCAGTGAGAAGTTGGTGTGAGATTCATCCCCTAGAACTAGTTCTCCAGAATGTCTAAATGCTTAGGGACTTCCTTGCTGGGAAGCAGCTTGTACTGAAGACCATGAAAAGCTCTTCAGGCCCTTGGAAGTGGGCTCCTCTCTGCTGCCGCAAGGAAAGACCTCCTGAAATCCCAAGTAGTCGATCATACCGATCTCCATCAATTCTCAGGCTTTCCTGGACCCAACTAAGGGGCTGTTGGAAGTCCAGATCCACCGAGGGCATTGCAGCAGAGCCAAAGGCTTCAGGATTTCTCCATGGAGTTGTCTAATCGTCTTCAAAGTGCCCCTTGGGGTTTTTTTTTTTTTATATACACGTTTCTTTCCCCTAAAGCAGATGAGGAATCGGCTTCGTTGGGAGCTCAGGTTTCGTCTCACCAGTGCCAGCCTTATGGGTTAAGCTGCAGGAAGAGTCTAGATGCTGCTTTCCTGCGCAAAGTTGGACAGGACTGTAAAACAAAAGGGCGAGGGGGGACCGTGAGCTCCGTTTCAGAGTCTTGCAGCTTGCTTAATACTCATTTCAGGTTCTCAGTGAGAAAAATAGCCTGGATAACTTCACAGGCAGGGGACTCTGGGCCTGTGTTTATGGGGAAGACCCAAGACCAGCAGTAACAACGTGGTCAAACGACGTGTTTGGTCGTTTTCTGCCCCGGGAATGTGTTCATGCTTCCCTTCTAGTAGCTGCTGCACACAACTGAGCGGAGATCAGCACCTTTTGGATGGAAAAAATGCAGAAAGCGCAGTAGATCGAACCCTGGAAGAGCTTGGAGTCAGTCCTGCTGGTGTTGATGCAGACGTGTGAGCAGCTGCTGCTGCGTTATGCTCCCCCCAGTATTGGAGGAAAGACCTTGTTTCCACTGTCACTTCCTAGACCGTTTCGCCGCCTGCCTTCCATATTTCCATGTAAACGCGGTAGTTACACGGAGAGCTTTTCTTCAGGGTTAAATTATCCACAGGCAGTGCATCAGATTGCTTTCACCTAAGAATCACGCGTGAGCGTAAGAGCAGACACGTTGTGGAGCAGTTTGTCCTCAATATTTTGCTGATGGATGTCTGAATTATTGTTTTTTTTTTTTGCCTTGTGTCCATAACCCCTTTGATGCTGTATGATGAAAGCAGTATTTTAATGCTGTTTTGCTGAGGCACAGTTCTGTTGTCAGCCAGATTCGGGAGCTCCGATGTGCATCTGTGTGTATGTCCTGTGACAAA